TGGTATGTGTCTCTGTCTCTCACCTGCTGCACACCTCCCTGCCTGAGACCCAGTTGCCTTCATGGTCTGCTGTGGTCTCATGCCCTCTGTCCACTGTCACTACGCGGCTCCCTGCCTGGGATCTGCTGCCTCTCATGGCCCATGGGCCACTTGGGGAACAGTGCCATTTTATTTTTACTGTTACACCATCAGGTTTGGCAGCTGTTGTCACAGAGAAACACAAAGAGAACCAGCAATGTTTATCATACAGGAATGTCTCCTCAGTGGACATCAAAATCAAAGACCTGCATTCCACCCAGAAAGTGAGTGGATTTTGTTAATGACCTTTTGTCATCTGTGGAGGTAGATCACCTTGTGCTACAGAGGCAGACCTGAAATCCTCCAGAATGACAACTCCAGACTCTTCCCTCCCTGGACTGTCACCCATCCTTAGGGGAGGTGTCAGAAGTACTCTATGGCCTGCTGATCTCTATGCTATGGTCAGAGACCACACCAGATTCTACGCCTTTTAGCTACAGAACCCACCCTCACGGTCACATGGACTTGTAAAGGAGTTTCTGTGTAGTCACGCCTTAAGCTTCATTGTGCACCTGGAACTGGGCTGACTGTTGCCTGGAAACCTTTCCCAGATTGTACTGTGCTTAAATATGCTGACAGTGAACCGCCTGGCGTTAGACTCCCGAAGTCTGATCCAGGTTGGTGAAGTCAGTCTGCACTGCATTTCAATCTTTTTTTTTTTTTCAAGAGACAGGTTTTTCCACGTAGCTCTGGCTGTCCTGGATCTCATTTTGTAGAACAGGTTGGCCTTGAACTCACAGAAATCTACCTGCCTCTGCTTCCCAAGTGCTGGGATTAAAGTTGTGCACCACTGCCCAACTGGGTGTTTATTCTCCGAGCAATTGGCTTCCCTGTATGATACCTTCAGAGACTGCCCTCAGGCCACCAGTGCCTTTACCCATCAACTCCTCTCATCAGCCCAAGGATAGTGACGTCTTATCTACCACCGTTCCCAACACGTCTGGGAACATATATGGACCATAGCAACATAGGGTAAAACATAACATTCAAAACACAATGACAGCATCACTTACTATAAACAAAGGGAACAAGCTGTGACCACCCAGCTAGAGACAAGCATTCTGTGGGAGGAGAAAGGGTGTGTGGAAACTCCAGGGGAGTTCAGTGAGACACTGCAGACGGGTTCTCCAGAGGAAGTCACCTGGGAAAGAGGGGATGGCACTGGAGCTCGGAGCTGGAATGGCCCAGTCATTGGCGCTACTTTCAGAGGTCAGTGAGATGTAGGTTACAGTGCTATGCATATGCCTGAAGGAGGCTGTAGGGCCCGTGTCCCCAACCCTTTTCTTTCTCTGGCCATGGGTGGTTGATAAGACATACCCTCCCGTCCTGCCACTGCACCTGCTGCACCCGACTTCTAACTGCGTCACCTGATGGTGGAGGGAGGTGCAGGTAAGCACTGGCCACGTTTCTGTTATTCACCTCACGTGTCTATTACAGGCACAGGCAGTTAACACAGATGGGAGGGGTCAGAGAGGGCCAAACCCACAAAAAAGTCACTGGGGCTGGGGCTGGTTCGGTGGGTACAGCAGCTGCTCTGCGACACCAATGACCCCAGTGTGACTCCTGAGGCCCACGTAAGATGGAGGAGAGAATGGACACCAGTGCTGTCTTGATGTCCACGCATGCGCTGCGGCACATTCCTGTGTCTACGCATCATATTCATTCATTAAAGAAATCCTTTAATCTTGAGCCACTTATTATTAAATGAGTCAGAGTAGTTTTCCTTTTTCTGAAAATTTTACTATAAATCCAGATTTTCAATTTGTAGGAATACTAAAGTTAAAACATTTTGGTAAGTTTCAAAGCCACTGAAGAATCATCAATTTTATTGAAAAATAATATTACAAGCTGAGAAAAAAAAAACACCATAAAAGGAGGCAAGGGGAGAAAGGGACATCAGGAACACTGTGAGTGGTCTGCCATGAGAGTTTCATACCCTCAGTTCCTTCCCAGGAGGCGTCTGCTGATAGAGATGAAAACATCTACCCACAAGGAAGATCAAGTTGATACAAAAAGAGGAAAATCACAAAGCAAGTTCAGGAAGAGATTATTTTTTTAAAATACTGGGTGACTTAGAGATTTAAAGCCAGACCTTTTTACCCCCCGTTGCCTGTCCCACCCTCCTCCCAATCTGCAGAAGCAATGCCAACAGGTACATTTCAGCCAGTTAGAATGCCAGAGCAGGGGGCACAGGGATGTGGGGGTTCCAAACTTGCACTCTGATTCCTTACCCTAGGTACTTGGGACAAGAACTTTAAGGGAAGAGAGACACCAAATTACAATGTGAAGTGAGTATGAGGTTGTGGAGTTCGGAGGGCAAAGGCCGTCTTTGGGAAGGTTCCTGTAGGAGAACTCAGGTTCAGCTATGAAGCAAAGCATGGTTTTGCTGGGGGGGGGGGTGATGGTGAGAGGTAGACATCTGCATGGCAGCCATGACATGTGCAGCAGAGTACTCATTAAAGGTATGGCCAGGGAGGAAGAGTGCTGGCTCTCAGTTCACACATACTCCGTTCTAGGACCATACAGACAGGTGGATTAGTGTGGACTGGGGCCCGATGGAGGCTACTGGGCAGAGGCACAGTCAAAGCTGCACCTAAGCCCCCTGGTAGTAGCTGGACCAGCCAGGGCACAGCCTGTGAGCCTAATGATTTAAGGGGCCACTGCGACAACTGCCTGGGAGCTGAGGGGAGACCTGGATTACAGTGAGGTCAGTAAGAAAAGCATGATCTTTGGGAAGAATTACAAGTATTTGGTGACTTAAAAGTTGGGACATGTCAAAAGCACCAGTGTTGAAGTTTAGGTGTCTGAAAGAGCATCCTTGAATAAAGCCGCTGTTAGCCACAGGGAGAGAAGAGCTGAGCTAGTAGTTACAGGTAAAGTGGACCTGAACCAAGCACTAAATGTTCAGAGAAATGGAGCTATTCTCAGAAAACTGTCTCTTCTCATCTTAAAGAGCACCAGGGAAGTAGGTATTTTTGATTACACGACTCACAAGATTTAGAAAATCTTTTAGTAAAGAATCACACTGTGGGACATATGGAGCGTTCATGCGCGCTGCTGTAGCTGCTCCATCTGGGAGGTGAGGGAGTCTAATTTTAGAGGCGCTGAAGACAGATTAGATCACTCATCTTCCCTAGAGCAAGTTCCCATTGTGCACTCATTAGCAACTTTCCCGTGGCGATTGTGCCATGTGCTGACTTCCACGAGTTTTTTTTACATTAAGAAATGAGTGCACATTAATTGTACAAGGCAATAGGTTTGTGATATTTCTGTTTATACTCCATATAGTTTTTTTTAAAAAATTCATCCATCAGTACAAACTCTTCAAAGCCTATCACTAACTGCTCACTGTTTGAGGAGAGGGTGTGTGTATGCACAAATGTGTGTGCTGTACCAAGATTCCTAAGGGTTAGTTCAGAGCCAACCTAAGGGACAAAACCACACCAAAATGCACCTGAGACGGCCAAGACCATGCACCGTCTGAAAATGGTACTTTCAGGTTAGTATACGGAGCCAGCTGATGAAAAGATCCTCGAGTACTCTGCACTTGAGTCACAGTTCCATAAATCATGCAGTAGAGTATTTAAAATTCTTGGGGTTACTATGTAAATAAACCATGTGTGGAGGCCCAAAAATGTGAGCCTATTTCCACATTGACCAAAGGTCAGAGAGTTGACCTTTGGAGGACTTACTTCTAGTCCTCCAAGGTTATTGTGTTTCTACCTCAAACAAAAGTCCCACCTAGATTTAGGCCAGAGAGTTCTGCTCTCTCAAAGCTATTGTCAAGAGGTGTGGCTAACAGTCAGACCTTGTATTTCAGGAACAGAGAAGTTGATCTGTTTCTACCTCAAACAAAAGTCTAAGGATCCTACTATGGGTCCAGTTCCTTTAGGGAGATGACAATGGATTATACCCAGGGAGTGGTTTGCCTACAGTATGTTTTGTTCTAGCAACAGAATGTTTAACTATGGTTGTAGCCTGTGACCGTCATTTCCTTGTATTATGTTAATGCAGTTTTTGTCTTTCTCCTACCTTTTGGGGTCAAGGGTATTTAAAGCAACTGGAAATTAAATGTGGGCAAATTTCAGTTCTCACTGGAATTCCCTCCCAATACAATCCTGTTTCTTTATTATTTTCTTTCATGTCTTCATATTCCTTACTAATATCTTCTAAATCCACATGCCTCTACCCTGGCAAGAGGTACTTTTGTCAAAGCTGGTCCCCGACAACCAGGCAACTGTTATAAAAAACAAGCCATAATCATTTGGAGTTTAAAAAACCAGGTTTTCTGAAAATGACAACAAACAACAAAAACCAGACTTCTGTCTTTCCATGGTTTCTTAGTGGGATGGCTCGTTTTTGTTCCCCTGACCTCAGTCATTCTTTGGAACCCTGTGGATAGCAAGACAGGGCTCTGAACTAGGTGCTTGAAGTGAACCAGATGGTCTGAGTATTTGGGAAGCTGTGTATGAGTTATATACAAACAGTATCATTTTCTTGAGACTTGGGCATCCAGATTTTCCTGTATTGTGATCGATCCTCTCCTCAGATACTAACACAGGAAACAGGGAAAAGAGACAACTGACTCTCACAGTCATATTTAAAGTGCTTCCATTTCACGACAGCCAAGGTGTCACTTCCTTTTATAATACAATCTTTTAAGATGATTTATTTTTATGTGCATTGCTGTTTTGACTGCATGTGTGTCTGTGTGAGGGTATCAAATCCCCTGGAAGTGGAGTTATAGGCAGTTGTTGAAATTACCTGGCACGAATGAGAAGGAAACACGGAACACACAACAAACCCACTTAGGAGTCTATTAGAGGGGGCGTGTACAGGGGAAGTCAGTGTGGCGAGAGAGGGAGAGGGGGAGGAGGAGAGGGAGAGAGATGGCCTGCCCGTTTTTTTATTCCCTGTCTTTTTATTTATTCATACACAACTACTTGTCTTCTGGCTTGTTGAAACAGTAAGTCAGACAACACTTGCCACAGTAATGTCTGTCAAAGTGGCTAGCCATGAAAACTCGAGCACCACATTCATCAGGAGGACACTCTCGACGAAGACGACTAATTTTGCCATTTTCATCCACCTTATATTACTTCAGTACAGCCAACTTCACCTTCTTTCTCTTGTGCTTGTTCTTCTTGGGAGTGGTGTAAAACTTCTTCCTTTTCTTAGCACCACCGCGAAGTCTCAACACCAGATGAAGGGTGGACTCCTTTGGGATGTTGTAGTCAGACAAAGTACGGCCATCTTCCAGCTGCTTGCCAGCGCAAGATCAGCCTCTGCTGCTCAGGAGGAATTCCTTCCTTATCCTGGATCTTGGTCTTGACATTTTCTATAGTGTCCAAGGGTTCAACCTCGAGGGTGATGGTTTTCCCCGTAAGGGTCTTCACGAAAATCTGCATCCTGGCGGCGCTGCCACCACAGGTGTCGGATCGAAAAGCCTGCCGAGCTTTTAAAAGTTCCCTAGCGCATGCGCACAGGGGGTTGACATGACTATGCCATATGCAGATGAGGGGCTCAGGCATGTGTGCAATGACTTAGCTGAGTCATACATGGATGATGTAACGAGACATGCGTGTGGGTCACACAGAGCCCTTTAACATTCCCAGGGCCATTAGGTACTTCTGCCTGAGGGCTTGTCTGCACATGCATGGCCCAAGAACCCAGAAGTGTTAGCCTTATTGTGGCTAAAATCCTAACAGTTGTGAGCTGCTATTTGGGTGCTGGGAATTGAGCCCAGGTCCTCCAGATCAGCCAGTGTTCTTAACTACTGAGTCATCTCCCCAGCCCCCACTGTGTGACACTGTGTGAATGTATGTGTACATTGAATTGGAATTCTTTCAATGTACCATGTATTCCCTCCACCCCCACCCCACACATATACATGCGTCTGAGAGCATGAACATGTGTGTTATCTGTGGTCGTGGAAGTCAGAGGTTGATGTTGGCAATTTCCCTCCAACATCCAAGGCAGGGTCTCAGGTGAACCCAGAGCTAGCTACACGATCTAGGGATCTCATTCCAGCCCTCATTCCTTTCTGGTTCCCTCCCCAGTCCTGTTTGAAGATCACTACTGTTGGTTTACAGAAATGAGGAAAATTAGTGGGAAACTACCTTATTGGTACCTGCTCCCCAAGGTCTCTGTAGTATCAAGCTACCTATCAATTTTGCCCAGCAGATATCTGGAAAGAAACAAATACAATTTTTAGAGCATGAATGGCGGTCCTTTAGGATGTCTTCCTGCTCTTCAGTGTGTGACCACTTGCTACACGCTTCACAATGGCTTATCCTGGGATCTCGCTTGTTGTAAGGTGGTTTTGGAGCTCTCAACATCTTCCACTTTTCTTCCTGAGTGTTTATGTTTGGCAATGATCTACTGTGTCTACTGTAAGAGCTACACACATTCCTCCTGTCTTTAAACTTGTTATGTAATATGGTGAATCAATGCGACAAAATGCCAGGTTATTAAAAAAACCCTCCAAAATTCAAGACACATTTGACATATGGATTTTACAATAAAGTTTATTAGCTGTTCTCCTCTTTCTCATAAATGGAATGGATAACGTTGATAATTCTTTACAAACCAGTACTTATTTAAGAAATTTTAACGAAGTTGCCCAAAACCACATTTGAATAAACAATTCCAAAGAGCAATGGGAAGCCAAATGATACTAATAATGGACTAGAGAAAGTGATTTCTGAAGGTATTTGGCCTCTCACTAAAATTTAGGAAGTTTGCTGTAAAGACCTGTGCAATTCTAGTACAGTGCAGCTACGTAAGATGAAGTGTCTGGGGGAGTCTCAAAATGGAGTTTTTCTATTAATGAAATGAGAACAAAAAGAGGGGTGGGGGACCAAAATCAAACTCCACAACAAGAACACAACACTGACAGAAAGCCTATGAGCACTCTGGAACTTCTGTAGGAAAGAGGAGAACACGCTCACACGTCTTACAATCTAGTTTTCTAGAGGTTTTTCCTCACCACCACCGGACACTTGCTTTCAGTTCACATGATTAAGGAAGATAAGTCTCATCAATTAATATTTAATTTAAAAACCAAACAAAAGTTAGAAGTAGGTGGCAAAAGAAAAATATATTTTAAATATATATATATATATGTTTGTGTGTGCAACTATGTAAAGAAAATAATTCCCATAGTTACAGAGTTTAGTTAAAGAAAGTTTTATATATATTTATATATATTTTATTATAACAAAATAGGCAGTTATTGTGGGTAAAATAGTCATTAAAATCTGTCCCCCACCCTAAGCATACATTAAAATTTCAGGCTATGAACTGAACACCTTCCCACTGTCATGATTACTACATTTCCACAGAAACTTTCTTGTCCGCAGTTCTGTCTGTGAAAAAGTGAGCCCCCTTCACCTCAGCAGGGCCATAAACAGTGTGTGGACAGTGCTTGAGAGGCACTGTGACCGGTGCTGCACGAGCTGATGAAAACCACCCAGACACTGTAATTCCTAGAAAGTGCACTAGGGGAGGGCTCATAAAGACCTCTCATGAGTATTATGAATTAACTCAGACATTAATTTTGAAGTAAAACCCCTATTTTTCTTATTTGTCTTTAATGAAATAATTACTTTAATACCAGAAGTCAATTGAGGAACGAACTTGAGAGCTAATACACCGGCCAAACCATGCTATTAAAGTTAAGCGTGCATTGTTGCTCAAGGTCCACCGAGTCACTGATTAGAACCACCTTTCATTTGTACTGAAATTGGAAAAGAATGTATATAAAGCTTTTCTGAAAATCTCTTAAAGTTAACTTTCCCTTAAACATTAAGGAATTTTACAATTTTGCATCTCCCCAAACCCCTGACAGCTGGTCAGGCCATTCATCTTCAGTTCTGGAAAACGGCCAGAAACCGATAGTAGTAACATAGAATAATACAGATGACGCAACATGAAGGAGACACTAGATGTCAAAAATGGGCAAACTGCCGACATGAGGGTCCGAGTCAGTGTGAAAGGAGCATTGAAGACAGACTCCAGGGCAGGGCAGAGAAGTGAGACCATGGAAGAAAGAAACAGAAAAGCCAGTCTTCATAATTTTTCTTTTGCTGGGACCCAAATGTAAGGACCAGACTGTTCTTCTATGACCTGCTTCACTTGGTTGTAAATGTCCTCCAGCGTGTCTCCCTGGACAATAGCTGAAATGACAAAAGCCAGAAGTGCCCATTACTCTTTCTTTGCCATCAGTAAGTATTTTGGTGAGATGGGAGAAGGCAAACTTTGGAAGCAGTTGAACACATGGATGTCCTTGGCAACAACTGGTCATTTAGCTGACTTTACCAGGCGAACAATACACACAAAATGACCAAATATGAGACACAGCCATTCTCTCTTTACCTTTTGTCTGGAGTTTACTTTGCTCATCATCTGAGCTTGCATTAGCTCATTCACTCATCCATCTGAGGGTGCTAGAGACTGAGCCTGGGTCCTTGCACAGGCTGACCATGGGCTCTCTGAGTTATGTCCTGCAGTCATTAGTTTTATCATTTTAATACAAAGTGTTTGTTTCCTCAACTTTTGTGGGAGCTACAGAGAGCGAGCACAGCTACTCATCTGGTGATGGCAGTGGGGGGGGGGGGTTAGGAAAAGACGGCTGACTATGGGTTGTGCGCTCTGCTGAGGTGTGAAGTGGGCCAGTACTGAGTGTAGGTGGACTGATACATACAAGCTAGAGCCTTAGTAGTTAGAATCTACTAAAATCAATGTTAGAAAATGTGTAATAAAAAATGGCAACAGAGGCATCTGTCATGGTGCATGTCTGAAATTTAATGCCTTGAAAGGCAGAGGCAGGAGGAGTACAAATTCTTGATCAGCAGGGGCTATACAACTAAATCAAAAATGTCTCAAAAATCACAGTTATAACATCAAAAATGGTAGCAATTACTAAGAACTAATTATTTGAATACTTAGAGCCTCTAGTCTGTAAGGATCAAAGGTTAGCTAATAAAACTAAAAAGACAGCATGGCACTAGGCAGGTGGCTTACAGAGATGATCCAGCACTCAGGAGGCCCAGGCATGTGCACCAAGTGGGTGTAAGGAAACCACACGTGTTAGTTGCCTATGGCCTGAGACATCTGGAATAAAATGCCAAAAGGAGATGTGAAGTGTAACTGTCTGGCTTGTGATGAGGTTAAGAACACCATCATGAGGAACATCTATGTGCCTAAGAAGAACTTCTATATAGCTGAGAATGTTTGAGTAATCAAAAGCTAAGCTTTAAAATGTTTGAGTATCAATTCGGTGATAAAAGCTCACATTCTGAGCTACATGGAGGTATTCTTTAATATCTGCGAAGACACACATTTGGCAAACATCAGTTTCATCTTGCCTGGCTCAAGTGCTTCCCAGCACAGGGTCACAGTGGCAAGCAGTGAAGAACAGCTACCTTGGGAAACACACACACTTTGCCTACTGGGTAAGTCGGGGTTCTCCCCGGGTTGGTAAAGCAAGAGGTCAAGGCCACAGATACCTCATTCATTCATTACCACTGAAACCAACCCCACTAGGAACAGTTCAGAATGAAAGCCCAAGCACTGCATGGTGCAGAGGACCAGGTCACTTCTTCATAACTCACATCTAAGGAGATTCCACAAGAGGACTGGCTTCCACTCGTAAAGAATGTCAAGGTTATGACTGACTAACAGATAAAGGCTAATGGATGGTTCTAGATTAAAGTAGACCAATTATGTGTGGTAGCTCAATGCAATACGTGCTCCTGGATTAAACCCTGAAATTTTTTTTTTATCATTTTACTCTAACAACTGCTAATATCTCGGGGAAGTCTGTATTAAAAGGTGAGATTATCAATGCTAAATTTCCTGGGTTTGATTAGCAGCATCTCACTATAAAGGGACATAAGCAAACATTCAAATATCTTTCTTCCTCTTTTTGAAAAACTGACATATTTAGAAGTAAAGGACATCTATTTGTAACAAGTTCAGATGTTTTAGAGATAAAATGTAACATTTGAAAAATATGGGTAAAGGACATGGGCTGTTCTTACGCTAATATTCTTATGGTTTCTAAGTCTGAAATTAAAGGAAAAAAAAGATCCTTTTCCCTTTAGCACATGGTTTATATCAGAGCACTTAACTGGAATTTATATAATCATTAGTTTAAATGAGGTCAGGCGCGGTCGTGTGTGTCCCAGCTACTCAGGTAGCAAATGTAGACCAGTCTCTTGAGTCTAGGAGGTCAGGGCCACCTTGGGCAACCCAGCTAAACCCTATTTTTTCTAGCCAAGTCTAAGCTGTTATTATAGTGGTGGGCTAGCTGCTGCCAGAGTTGGGTTGTTCATGCAGTCCCCTCTAGTCCTCTAGCAGCCTGTGTGTTGGTTGCCCTTCTGTAGGTCATTTAGTACACGAAGACACTCACAAATTGCAATCCCTTTCATCTTGAAATTCTCAATCCTCCCAATTGTCAGCAAAAAAAATTCCTTGCCTATATTAGGTCTACTGTATACTGTTATAGTAGCAGAAAACACACTAAGACAAACAATTCACCAATCTCATTTCTGGGTATATAACCAAATGAAATATCAAAGTAAATCAAAGAACCATCTGTAATTTTTTGTTAACCTCAATATTACAATATACAAAAAAATGAAAACCAGCTAAATGTTTGTTAACAAAGAAACTATAGGG